GTAGATCAATTTTGCATCTAAATCTGGGAACATGATTTTTGGTCGAAATTCATGTTAAAATGGACCCTCAGATATCCTATATAAGCATAGATCAAACTTTCCCAACCCCATAACTTGGTCAAAACTCAACCGATTTTCATAAGGCTTGGCTTTTTATTCATGGTTTGACTCGTAGATCAGTTTTGCATCTAAATCTGGGAACATGATTTTTGGTCGAAATTCATGTTAACATGGAACCTCAGATATCCTATATAGGCATAGATCAAACTTTCCCAACCCCATAACTCGGTCAAAACTCAACCGATTTTCATAAGGCTTGGCTTTTTATTCATGGTTTGACTCGTAGATCAATTTTGCATCTAAATCTGGGAACATGATTTTTGGTCGAAATTCATGTTAAAATGGAACCTCAGATATCCCATATATGCATGGATCAAAATTTCCCAACCCCATAACTTGGTCAAAACTCATCCGATTTTCATATGGTTTGCATTTTTATTCATGGTTTGACCTCTAGAACAATTTTGCATCTAAATCTGGGAACATGATTTTTGGTCGAAATTCATGTTAAAATGGAACCTCAGATATCCTATATAGGCATAGATCAAACTTTCCCAACCCCATAACTCGGTCAAAACTCAACAGATTTTCATAAGGCTTGGCTTTTTATTCATGATTTGACTCGTAGATCAATTTTGCATCTAAATCTGGGAACATGATTTTTGGTCGAAATTCATGTTAAAATGGAACCTCAGATATCCTATATAGGCATAGATCAAAATTTCCCAACCCCATAACTTGGTCAAAACTCAACCGATTTTCATAAGGCTTGGCTTTTTATTCATGGTTTGACTCGTAGATCAATTTTGCATCTAAATCTGGGAACATGATTTTTGGTCGAAATTCATGGTAAAATGGAACCTCAGATATCCCATATATGCATGGATCAAAATTTCCCAACCCCATAACTTGGTCAAAACTCATCCGATTTTCATATGGTTTGCATTTTTATTCATGGTTTGACTCGTAGATCAATTTTGCATCTAAATCTGGGAACATGATTTTTGGTCGAAATTCATGGTAAAATGGAACCTCAGATATCCCATATATGCATGGATCAAAATTTCCCAACCCCATAACTTGGTCAAAACTCATCCGATTTTCATAAGGCTTTGCTTTTGTTCATGATTTGGCCTTTTTCTCAATATGGCATCTTAATCTGGGAGCATTATCTGGGAGAGCATTTTTATTTAGAGTAAATATATCTTAATAGCTCGTTTTTATTAGATATTGTTTTGTCGTCTTTGTTTAAGTAATAGGCTACACTGCGACAGCCAGAAGTATGAAAATATCTGATATCGTCAGTCAATTGTAAATGTTGTGGGCCTTGTCAAAGGGTTGCAGCCCGGCATTTGCATGCCACGAGGCGGGGATCTGCCGTTGTTGATTGTGGCAACACATGTTTCTGTCACATTGTTTGTGTGCAACAGTTTGGAGATGTCCTTGTTTGTCCCTGCGGCACAGACTCCTGCCATGTTTCGTTTCGCCGTTTGGCTGTAAAGCATTTAGGCAAATTTTCGCACTCCTTTCGTTGGCTAACAACCCTCCCACTACCCTCCCACGTACCACCCGTAGTCACAAAATGGGAAAACAATTTACATAATTTTCGTCAATTTTGCGTTGTTAGTCGCTGCTCTTCCTCTTCCGTTGATTGGCACTGGACAGAAATCATTTTTGACTGATGTTCGATGCGTTGCCGTGCCACAGATTTTTTTTTGTTGAAATCTCAGCAAAGCGATTGCGACTATCATGCATGTGGGCGTGTCCGTGCGCCCGCCCGTCCGCCCGTCCGCCCGCCCGCCACGTGACCGCACGCGTTGCGTTGAATTTTACACGCGCGAAGTGGCGGCCCCAGGGACAGCAGAGCTGGGAGTTGGGAGTTGGGCGGCGTCATCGGGCGTTGGTTTTGCTGCTGTTTTTGGCGCTGACTCTAGACCTGGCCTGGCCTGGCTCTGGGCCGGTAATGCAAATGGGGTGCGGTTGAGGGCAACCAAAAATTGTTTAAACTTTTTTCTTTTTGGTCGTCGTTGTCGTCGTTGTCGAGAACGCGTGCAGCCAATAAGTGCTGAAGTCCTTCATCACTTCCGCTTCAGTTCAGCTCCGTGATTTTGCACAAATAATGTTTTGATTGCGTGGCAGCGTGACGTGTAATTATTATCGCCGCATACCATCGACAACAAAGCTCTGGCTGGTCGTCGAGTGGGCGTGGCACTAATGCTGCTGCTGCTACAAAAAAAAAAAATATAGCGAATCTCGCAAAGCAATTAAAATGATTTGCCCAGCTTTAAGTAAACAGCAGCCACGATCGGAACAGGCTCCTCATAAATTACTTTAATTAAAACCGCACGCAAAAGTTGCCGGAAAAGCTGCCTTAAGGACACTCGCAAGGAAAATCACAAATTAAAAATGGCTTCCGCAAAAATACAACAAAAAAAAAATAAATAAAATTTATGCAAATTATGCGCGGCAAGCGGGCGAATCCTTTTCGGGCGTCTGCCCAGCGACAGAAATTTCATTAAAAACTGCGCCGAAAATCTTTGATAAAAATTAAAAACTTTTGCCTGTCAGACACGCTGAAGGACAATTGACAGCAAACGTTAAGAAAATGGCAGCCAGAAAAAAAGCTGAATAAAAAAAATATGAAATCTTGAAACAAGGAATTAAAACAAGCAATAATATGAAAATATTATGACAGGCCGAGTGGAGAGGAAGGGGGGGGGGGGGTGGCTACGAGCTGAATTATTTAAATATGCCCAAGCTGCTTTCATATCACCATTTTGTGTGTTGTTTTTTTTGGAGCTTTTTGTTTTTGTCATCTTCGTCAGTTCTGGTAATTTTAATGCGTTTTTTAGCGCCTCCAAAGAGGTCCGAGAATGGCGCACCCAACTGCTTTGCATAATTATATTCATTGAAAACTTATTTCCTTCAAGTTTTCCCAGCAAGAAATATTAAAAAAAAAAAATGCCCGAGTGCTGCGCTTCGTCCCCGTGAATTGAGTTACAGTTACATGCACTTAGGGGGCGAATGAAGAGGGGGAGGGGAACGGGGCTGAGGGGGCGGGGTGGTGTGGCTCAGTTTTGACATTTAATTGCTAGGTCTTGTGCATAGACCTGAGCAGAGCTGACTAACTGCCCAGCACTTGCAGTCCTCCGTCCACTTGCCAAAGAAACCCGTTTCAATAGCCGGACCTGGGATGCCGCAGCCCCGCCAACCGTAGCTCCCAGTAGGGAGCTGAAGATGTTGCTGCCGCGGCTGCTGCGGCTGCAGAAGATGAAGCAGAAAGCTGAAGGAGAAAAAAAATGTAACATGATTTAATGACATGAATTATTTATGAGTTTCCTGTCAATCAAAAACCACGTCAAAGCATTTTGATGGCGATGTCAACGCGCCAGTGAGCAAAACACACGACTCTCTACACATTGCTCCAGCGATGCGCCAACAGCGGACGAGCCATACAAAATAAACTGACTGAAAAAAAATCAAAATAAAATATATATATATATAGATATAAAGAAACGAGCCTAAATAAATATAGCTACTGATATAGGTTGTCTGTGTGAAAAATTCCAAATGTTCAGAATGGAACTTCGTATCGCCCAGAATAGTTATTCTAGAAAAATATAACATTTCAATCTCTGTATAGAAAACAATTTTTCCTGACTGACTGATTGGTAAGCTTTAAAATTTTCACGGACGAGGATTGGTTGAAAAAGTTATGTCTAAAATTATGGGCACAGAACTTGACACGGGCAAGGCCGGGGAATAACTGCTAGTCTTTATGTATATTCGTAAGTAAAACAGTGTACTTTAAATTAAAAACATTTTAATCGTTAAAAATACAAATGCAATTTTTAGCATTGAAAAGCAAAATATAAAGGCGTATATATAATAAACAAGCTGGTATTACCCGGCGTTGTCCGAGACTAGTTTATATACACACATTTTTGGAATTAATTTTTTAACCCATTCCCGACATGTGTGAAATTTAAACCTGTTTAAATCTACATGAAACTTCCATGTGTAAAAATGATTTTGAAGAGTATTGGATGAAAAAAAATACAATCAAAGATTATCGTTAATTTATTCCCTTCTCATTATTTTATATTGTAGAGCTTTTAAAAATTGACTTGATGAAGAATATAGAATTCGCTCTGATATCCTTCGACCGCCATTCTTCGGAAGATTTGAACTTTTCGCAGGATCTGTTGATGATGATTTCAAAATCGATCGAATGGTAAGCAAACATTTTTTAGTTTTTCACTTATTTTTCACAGTTGAAAGTGAAATTGTCTAAAACTCCGCGCTCCACATCTCATAAGGGATATAACTACAGGCAGTATTTCGACTTCATAATCTACTGCGATTTGAGTTGTGGATTGATTACCAATCAGTCAATAATTCAGTCAATTAGGGAAAGTTTTTATATATAGACTGCTCCACTCTCACGCTTGACAGATCCATTGAGAGTCTACCTATTCGTATGCGTGGCACATTCTTATATCATATTCTCAGACCACGGCCCTGCTTATCGGTCGTGTGCTTCTAAGTATTTATAGATATTGCACTAAATGATATGCTAATTCAGAAGCTTTTTAATCAAGGCCCTAAGCCAAAGCCGGGGCCAAGGAGAACGAACGCAAACGAACGAAAGCCAAAGCCAATGTCAGAGCCCAAGAAAGAAGCGTATTTGCATTTTGTTTACTTTTTGCCCCCATTGTTTTCTCTTCTGCTTACGCATTGTGTGCTCTGAGCTCTGTGTCCTGTGCTCCTGCTCCTGCTCCTGTTTATACTCCTATGTGGCACAGTTCTATTGTTGCGCTCGAATGAAATCAATCATGTAATTTATGTTAGGATAATATGGACGAGGCTACAGGCGAACCCCTCTAAAATGGACTGGCAAGAAATAAATATTTAACAATAATTGATTTAAAAGGCGCATGCAAATTATTTCGCAGCGGCAACAACAACAACAACAACGGGCTGCGCCAATCAAATGTAAGGACGAAGGACGAGCTCGAGGTCTGTCGCATTTTTTCCTAAGCAGCTTGGCACGTGGGTAAAGCAACGGCTGCTCTTGACTGTTTTGGGGGTCGCGGTCTCAAGTGTTTACGGCCAGCTTTTCCCGGCGTTTTTTTTTTCCAATTTCCTTGGCCACCAAGCAAACAACTTGTCCGCATGTTGCTTGTCTCTTAAGCGTGAAATTATATGAAATATCCTTTAAAAAGCTTTTGATTTCGCTACCAAAAGAAGAGAAAAAGAAACTGTTGCCAGGCTGGGCACAGACTGGGCTTGTATGCAAATGTTGTTCATCTGCTTAGCGTAAAAGTTGTTTTTCTTACTTCAGTTCGGGCTGCGGGAAAATCGCATTTGCATGCCTTTGTCTGAAGTTGACCTCCTTGCTGTTGTTGGTGTTGTTGTTGTCGACGCTGCGTCAGGTGTTGCGTCCAGGTTACTAATGCTCCCTGTTAACGCCCTTAATGGCATAGACAAGCTGCCTCCGACTGCATAATGGAGCTGCTCAGCAGCTCAGCTGTCGCCTGTCGCCTGTCAGCTGCATTCATTCACCTGCTCTCTAATGTTAATGACATCTCCTGGGCCGTTGCATCAGACCATTTTTGGGCAACTTAGAGAGAGAAAAAAACTAGCCCAGTAGCTGCTGAGCAAGTGAAAGGCGCTGGGCTGGGAGTTAGGGCTAGCTGGTAAGAGAGAAGGAAAAAAAAAAAGAAAAATTAGCATTACTTCCGAGTGATCACAATCGGCGCATACTAATTGCTCGCTGGCCGCTTCGTGGGTTTCATTCATGGCAATCATTGAGTAGCTGCATCCAAACTTGGCATTGCTGAATGATTCTGCTGTGATTTTTTCCAGCCCGTCTAGACGAATGTCTCCTCGGTTCATATAAGGCAACGCGGCGACGACGCACATTTGCCTCGATACGCGACTCTCTACTCCCGAGGCCTGCTGATCTGTGCTGCTTTCTGCCGATTCACAGGAAACGTGAACGGGACCAGTTGGGCAACTGGGTTGACGGGCGGGTATGAGGATGGGGTTGGGTTGTCGGGAACGGTTACCCTTGCTGCTGCATCTTACGAAACAACAGAAAACACCAATCATCCACATCATTGTCAACACGCCATCGTCGCCGTCAGTCCATAAACGGACGCACCTTTTGCCTTTTAAGGAGGCACAGCTCTGTGGCCTGTCATAACTCTTGGTAGGCGTACCGTCAGCTCCGTCAGCTCCTCTTGGATCTCGGTTCGGCACGAAATGGTGCACTATGCGCTTGCCTAAGACTCTTTCTCTCGATCTGGTCATTCTCATTGCCATTGCATCCAAAAATGGCGCAGACGCCGCAGCTTCATGACGCGCGCTGGGAATATCGAAGCCCAGCTTTGTCGTCGTCATCCTCATCGTCGTCGTCATACTTTCGCTGGAGACACAGTCCCCAGGCTGGCGGATGGTGCCTTAGCCAGCTGTTGTCCGATCCGCTTGGTTCTCAGCGCTCAAGTGTCAAGCGTCAATTGCCGTTGAGGTTTATTGCCTTGGCAGCAATTAAAGCGATTTCGGCTTTGGGGCTTGGCCATGTGTAAAGCCAGCGCATTTGATTTGATTTTTGATTGGCTGTCATCAGCATTGATTGCAGAATTGAATTATCAAATTGGAGTGGCCGCCTTCCCGCACTCGATTCATAATTGAACGCCAACCGGATCGAAACTTACTTCTAATGAATCAATACAGCTGTCCAACAATGTCAAATGCTTTCTACACCCCGCAGTCGTGCAGTGAGTGCTAAAATGAGTTACTTTAATTGTCTATAAATGTATCAAAGACAATCAGAGATATGGCGACAATTCATCTAGCTATGACTGATCTGGCCTTGACTCACTTCTTCCTAGCTTATATAACTTTTTTAGAACTGAAATGATTTTTAGGGTTCCGAAACATTTTGGTTATTAATTGTGTTCAATTTCTTTCCATTTGTTTTACAAGAAAACTATTATGTACTTGCCTAAATTGTGTTTTATTTCATCAATTTTGTTGCTTGCTTCCGAAGTAAATATTCCTTCTAAATTTTAAACATCAATAACTTAGTAAAAACTGAATCAACTTGCATGTGTCCAATCTTGACTTTAGTTTTACTTCCAAATCTCTTGATTTTTTGATAATCTTTTTTTTAAGCCATGTCTATCTGACTGTCCGTCTATCTGTCCTTTGGTCTATCCGTTTGTCCGTATGTCCTTCTGTCCGTCTGTCTTTCTGTTCGTCCTTTGTACGTCCGTATGTATGAACGCGTGGATCTTTGAATCTATAAGAACTAGGGACTTGAATCTTTAAACGTAGGTCCTTCTATCTATTGTTTCTGATAATCGATACCGACAAATTGTCCAGTTTCCAAACAATCGATAACAATTAATATCGAAATTCTGTTTTTTGAGCACTAGAATTACCAAATTTGATATGTAGCTTCTAGAATAGTATATAGGGATCAACAATCTTTCACATTACATCTATCAACTTTGAGCCACATTTTGGAGAGTTATTGCATTGCCCTCTACGTAAGATTTGATTATTTGATACTTTATTTGTTTTGAAGGTATAAAAAAGCTTTTAAGATATTTTGTCTTAAGATGCATTTGGACTAATCCAAGCCATAACTGATTGCATTGGACAATTTTATTAGGCAAATTTCGTATCCTTCATTTGCGCTACGGCAATTTGGCTAAGTAAGCTTATATTGCTGGCTGGCCCTGAGCTCCGCACCCGCCCGCATCTGAGCGCTTGCATAACTCAAAGAGAAAAATTCATCACCGTAATATGCGCAACACATTCAACAGAAATGTTGAGAAAAAATAAAAAATAAAACGATAAAATAGAAAAGTGGCAGCAAGGAAAATTGTCATAAAGGTGCAACTGACAACAGCAGCAGCAGCAGCAACAGCAACAAGAAGAAAAGCGAGCCTCGTAAATTTCAATTTATATGCAGAATGAGCAGTGAGTAAAAAAGGCAAGCACACACACACACACGCACACACATGTATGTACATCTTATGCTACATGCAGCCAACGCAATGGCGAAAAGTGTCAACGTGATATTTTCTCGAAATTTTCCAAGATTTCTGTTGGTTTTTTTTCCATCCTCTTTTTTTTGGCTGCTTTCTGCAGCGTGCAAGTGGAAAAAGCAATTTCATTAGACAAATTGAAAAAAATAAGTGCAAGGCAACAATAATAATAATAGACATGCCCGTTATACGACCATGTTATATATACATGTACATAAAGATATGTGTAACTGTGTGTGTGCCTGTGTGTGTGTGTATGTGGGCCAAGCACATAAGCCCGGATAGACGCCATGTTGTGGCAGCTGAAGCATTTCGTTGGTCGCTTCCCATTCGTTGCGTTTATTTTTGTTTGCTGACGCGCATACGAGTAGGAGCCTCGCAGCCCCCCAACCCCCCCTCCGCTGCCCACCCACACACCCCCTCTCATAAGGCTATACACAGTTATGTGTAGCCAGGCCGCATGCATGCTGCCGAGCTGCCATCCAGCAGGATGCTGCGCGCGCGTTGAAAATAGGCGGAGACTTGGCGGCCAACGGCGCCTTTCACACTTGGCGCAAAAAAAGAAAAGCAATGAAAATGGCAAAACAAAACGGAAAAGCAGCCAGTATGGCAAATAAAAAAGAAAATGCAACCGAACCGTTAGCTGTTAGCTGCTGCTGCTGCTGCTGCTGCTGCTGCTGCTCTTCCTTATCAAGGCCAGAGCTCGGCAGCATTCGTTTCAGTTTTCCGCATCGTCGTCGCTGATTGGAAGCTTCGGCGTGCCGTTCGTTTTTGGGGCGGAGCCCAAAAGCTCTGAGCACAGTGGCGCCGTCGCTGGCATGGGCTTGCGAACGGGGGGGCTGTTTTCCGTTTGGGGGGTTTCTTTATTGAGTGCTAAGGCGCTTACAAGACATCTATTCCCCGGGCAGCCGTTATCATGCTTACAAATCCCTCGGTCACTTCACGTGCCACGGGTATTATATACTCCGGCGGCAGCAGGAATCCGTATTCGCCCTTATCGCGCAACTCTATGGTGTACGGCATGGTTATGTTCTTCACACCGTTAGTCCAGTCCTGGCCTGAACCAAAAATGGCATCTGAAATATTCAAAGATAGATAGCTTAGGCTGGAATTTATGAAGAACTTGCAGAACTTACAGAGGGTTGCGGCACTGGAGCCGCAAGTGAACTCTGTACCATAGCGACTGGCCAGAGAATCATCAAATCCCTGAGCAACCCTCATCATCTGGGGATAATGCTCGGGAAACTCATCCGCGGTGTGACCCAAGGTGAAAGCACAAGTTGGCTATACGAATGCAGGGAAATATAGATTTTAATGGAATCTTCCGGTATCGAATTGTTTATGTAACGGGTCAGCTGATTTATCTCCGGATCGGATGTAGCAAAGGGACCCGCAAGAGCAAGGATCATCTAAAGCGCCAGCCACTAGAAGTTAGCATTAAAAGATTTTGATAGAAGGAAATTAAATCAGATTCTTATAAGAAACGCAGACTATCTTATTAGATATTCCACAATAAGTACGTGAACATTCAAATTTACCCATCCAGCGATAGTTAAAGTTTCGATTCACATCTGTGCCAATGCACTCGCCCGCGGGATCCGAGGGAAATCTAGATTTGCGCTACAGACGTTCCTTAAATCAAAAGTCAATTATTTATTTAATGACTCCCAACAAAGAAGTTGATAAGGCTTAACGGGGTCTAGTACACTTTTTGGCAACTTTTATGCTCTAGATATAATCTAATCTTGAGTTTATATCGCCAGCAAGTGACTTCTTTTCGGCACTCACCATGCCATGCGAGTACGTAAAACCGTCCACATTCAGCTCGTGTATTATGTACCAGTCCACATTCCGGGCTATATCCTTAACAGCTGGCTTACCAGGCACGAGTAGTTCATCTATGAAATACGTGATGGTGGCCGAGGTAATCCACTCGTTGCTATGTATAGGATAATGCGCCTCGGTCATATGCAGCGAGGCGTAGATCTCGTCCAGCGTGTGGTACTGCGTCCACTCCATTTGGCTGGTGCGTTGCTTTGGACGCTGTGCGTCGATCAGGCGCTGCACGTTGTCAATCTTGACGCTGTAGCTGAAGTTGTGCCTATTGAGCAGATCCTCGAAAGCCTCCTGGCTCTGGGGTGGCAACATAAAGTCCGAGTAGTCGCCCGGATGACGCGCCTCACGCCAGCTGCTGAGCTGAGGAGAAGAGTGGGCTATATGGAGGAGCCTTCTCGATTGACTTGGCCTACCTTGAGAGCTCTCTCATTTTCATTAAGTAGCTGACTCTGTTGCACATCCTCGATTTGAACTTTGTACAGCTTGTAGTTGTCATAGCGCAGCTGATCCAGTCCCTTGGCCAGGCTGAGGCAAGCGAATAGCAGCAGAAGTTTTGGATGCATACCTCTCGATCGGACGGCTACTTATAGACTGCCTGTGGCCCAGCCATCGTCTATGTTAGCTGATTAGGCGATGTTATCGTTGGGTTTCTATGGTTCTTCAATATCCACGGCAATTGAGGTTTTGGTTTTATTTTATATCATTTTTTATCTCAGCTGAAACTTTGATTCTTTTAACTGGCTGCCTTGTCAGCATAGAGCTAGAGGAACTTGAAGTTGTCTGGCCAAGCCCCCGGTACTTAGGCTGTCTCTCAACTTTGCACATAAATTTTGTGCAACGGCAGCCCATTTCATTGTAGGTCACTGCATAATGAAGTTGCCGCCCCGGAGCACATAAATTCAGCGCTCGCTGGCGGAGATTCCAGCCTTCAGTTTGACTTGTCGCTGGCATTAGTGCGAAATTCTGTTTAGGCCTTTTTATGTCCTCGGGGCTGTCCTGTGGCGAGTGCTTAAAGGACTTTCGGCGCTTGGTCATATTTTGCGCGGGTCTTAGACAAACAGAGCTGGGGTTGTATATAGTTTCCCTTGCCGTTGTCACCGCATGAGGTGTGCCAACGTGTGTTTTTTATTACGCCGCTGCGGAGGGTGTGAGGTTTCTAGATGTGACCAGGAGAAACGCATCAAAGGGACTTATGAGGCAGTTAAGGAAAACGAAGCTGGGGGTAGAAGCTCCCAAGCGCACGGCCTCATATCTATTCATTAAAAGCCTCGCATAGCTACAAGATTTTACCATCGTCTTAAATATAATCTATTGCTAATTGATGTTAAAGCTCGTGTATCAGATAATGAGAAAAGCACACAATGGCTTTCAGGCAGTTCTTAATCAGCCAAAAATTGATTTATTTACCCTTACAAATTAAAACTGACGCACTTTGATATAAATAACTGATAAACAACATAAAAGCTCAGCGTATTAAATATTGTGTTATTGTACATCGATATTCCCGTGTATATTTGCTATCGTTAATCGATAATGTAGTGTAGTGTTCTTATTTAAGCTCCAAATTTATATAAATTAACTTTTTAAAGAGTTTTTAACTATGCCAGCTTTGAATCTGGTAACAGATAAAGCCATGTTAGCTTAATGTATCTGGCTTTTATTTCACTTTTGTATAAATCTTTTCGATCACTCGCCCAATCGATATGTTTTAGATTACTTGTTCTATTTAATATTTAATCGAGTTGTTTTTCAACCGATATTTTATAAATTACTTACTTATAACCGATATATTGTCGATTATTTCTTCTATGCGATATCTTGTTGTTTACTTGCTCGAATCGATATGTTTTCGATTATTTGATGAAACCAACGACAAATCGATCACTTGTGAAATTTGCTATCTTGTAGATTACTTGTTTAAATCACTCTTTAGTCGATTAATTGCGCCAACGCTGTCTTGTCAATTTCCTGGTTCTGGCGATATCGTAGATAATACTTGCCCCAACTAATACCTTATCGATTTCTTGATCCAATCGATATATTATCGCTTACTTCTATTAATCAGAAGGGATTGTAAGCCATTCGTTATCAGCTATGAGTTTCTACAGTTTAACAATCCCAGAACTTTGATATAAACATCAGAAAGTCAACTAAAAAGCTAGGTGTACTATGAAAAATTGTGCCATTGCCTATCGATATGCCGATTTAAAATGAAGCTCTATCGAATGTATCTGGTGTTGGTTCTCAGCTGCTGGGGCATGCTGCTTCATCCGCAGTTGTACTTCTATACCGAATCGAAACAGGAAATGCTGGGAGTGCGTATACTAAACATATGGCCGGCTCTGATACAGGCAAGTTTCTATACCATGCCCGCCGTGCTGGCTTTATGCCTGCCCAGTCACCAGGTGTTGCGGGGCCGTGTTTTGGTGCGCTATAATTGCAACTGGTTATTTATGATACCCTACATAATGCACTGCCTCTACGGATTTGGGAATGGCGCGCTTCACATGTTTCTCCAGATGAGGAGCCTCTCCGTGCTGAATGCGGCGAACTTTATCAGAGCTCTAGTCAAGATTATACTCGTGTATAGCATGCAGATGTATGCCATACTCGAAATGGCCATGACACTCTGCTACGGGCTTAAGATTCTGGCGCTGGATGGGTCGAGACTCTACTGAAACTCGACTGTCGAAACTCGCAGCTGGCAAGTGGCAACAGCTAACAACAATTAGCTGGGGCTTATTTGATTAGCTTGCTAATTGCCAGCAGGCAGCGACTCGCACCAATAAATTCATGCACATTAATTTCTTATCAGCGCAATAAAGCTAGCAAGCCGGATTAAAGCCCGGTTCGTGGTATACAAGGGGCCTCTGGCGCAAAGTTGCGCCCAACTTTCAACACCTTTGCACAGGGGGAGGAGGGGCGTGGAAAATTGTGTAAAACTTTTAACCAAAGAAAACTCCTGGTTGCGCGTGCGATAAGCCAGCGCCGCATTTTTAATTGGCCAGGATACTCGGGCAGGCAGCTTTAAGACAAGGACTCGCCTTGTTAGCCGGATGCCAGCCTTTAAAATGTCATAAATATCACGGACAGCCGCTTCCTGGCGTGCATTTTTTGCGCCAATGCATTTGGTTAATTGTGGACAAAAAAAAAACGAAAAGCCATTGACATAACATAAATCTGGACTCTCCGGCGGGCTACTTAACTGGCCGGCTGGCTGGCGGGCTGTCTGGAGGACGTGGCGTATGCGCAATATTTGCAGCCAACTGGCAGAAATGTCAATGCCGGAAAGTGTTTAGCATTCGCCTATTTTTTTTCGCAGTCACATGTTTTGGATTTAATTAGCCCTAAAATGTCCCAGGCGCTTCACGACTCCGCAAAATGGCAGCTTTGCATGCCATGCGAGAAATGTGTCCTCGTTGCGGCTGGGAGCCCAAGGATAAGCTAAGGAAAACCCCACTAGGAAGGAAGTTGCATGTTTACCTCAAGTTCAATTTGCTTGCTTGAACATTTCGGACAGCTTTTCTCACATGTGAAGTGCAGCGAACTTACAGGAGGCAACTGGAGGGAACATGTCAAGGTTTTGGGCCATAAGTTTGAAATATGGCCAAGTACTTTTGGCATTGCTTGCGTCCAAAACGGGCTTGCTTTGACTTCTTACTCTGTGTCTAATGTAACAAACAAATGCCTTATTTAAAGTCTTGAGGTTATAAAAATCGCAGCCAAAGGCACAGACAGTTAGAAGAGGGTGTCAGAGAGGTTGGCTGTGGAAATATGAAGAGATCGTGAAGGATCATGGAGACTTAGATTATAGGTGTCTTGTTTTCCGAGTGTTCCTTTATTGAGTGCTAAGCAGCTTACAGGACGTCAACTTCCCGGGCAGCCGCTATCATGCCCACAAATCCCTCTATGACCTCACGTGCCACAGGTATTATATCCTCGGGCGGCAGTAGAAAACCCAGCTCGCCTTTATCGCGTAGCTCTATGGTATATGGTATGGTTATGTTCTTCACACCATAGGCCCATTCCTTGCCAGAACCAGATACGGCATCTAAAATAGTCAAAGATAGAGATAGGGAGTACTTCTAGATATACATAAGTATTATATAGAACTTACAGAGAGTTGTGGCACTGGATCCATAAGTAAATACTGTGCCATAGCGTCGGACCAAAGCATCCGCGAATCCTTTAGCAACAGCCATCATCTGGGGATAATGTTCGGGAAACTCGTCAGCGGTGTGACCCCAAGGCGACAGCACATATTGTCCATAGGAATGCAGGGATATATAGATCTTAATGGTACCTTCCGGTATGGAGTTGTTTATGTAACTTGTCAATTGATTTATCTCCGGATCAGATTCAGCAGAGGGACCTGCATACGTTTCGGAGCAAGGATCATCTGAGGCGCCAATCACTGAATAATAGAAATTATCAAATTAATATGAATATTACACCCAAAAACTAAGAAAGATAGAGAGATATTCGACTGTACTCACTCATCCAACGATAGTCAAAGTTGCGATTCAAATCTGTGCCAATGCACTTGCCCGCGGGATCCGAGGGTAGACGCGACTTTCGCCACAGACGTTCCTAAAGAAAAAAGGGAAAACAATAAACAAATAATAAATTGATTGGTAGCAATTCTTGACTGCTTAAAATTACAAAGAGCTTGATAAGACTAGCTCGTAATCTTGTCGGCACCTAGTTATTTGGATACAATCTAATCTAGGCGTATATCAACTACCATTAGAATATATCGCCACCCAGTTATTTATTGGTACTTACCACTTCATGTGAATGGACAAATCCGTCCACATTCAGCACGGGTATGATGTACCAGTCCACATTCTGTGCTATGTCTCTCACAGCCGGATTGCGGGGCACGAGCAGCTCGTCTATGAAATACGTGATGGTGGCCGAGGTGATCCATTCGCGTGCGTGTATATTGGACTCGATGAAGACGGCGCTATTGCCGGGCTTGTAGGAGATCTTGATGCCTCGAATTGGGCGACTCTCATAGGAGTTGCCAATCGTGAAGGGTGTGACAATGTGAGGATAACGCGCCTCGATCACATCCAGCCAGGCGTAGATCTCGTCCAGCGTGTGGTACTGCGTCCACTCCATTTGGCTGGTGCGTTGCTTTGGACGCTGTGCATCGATCAGGCGCTGCACGTTGTCAATCTTGATGCTGTAGCTGAAGTTGTGCCTGTTGAGCAGATCCTCGAAAGCCTCCTGGCTCTGGGGTGGCAACATAAAGTCCGAGTAGTCGCCCGGATGACGCGCCTCACGCCAGCTGCTGAGCTGAGGAGAAGTGTGGGCTATATGGAGGAGCATTCTCGATTGACTTGACCTACCTTGAGAGCATTCTCATTTTCATTGAGCAGCTGAGACTGTTGCACATCCTCGATTTGAACTTTGTACAGCTTGTAGTTGTCATAGCGCAGCTGATCCAGTCCCTTGGCCAGGCTGAGGCAAGCGAATAGCAGCAGAAGTTTTGGATGCATACCTCTCGATCGGACGGCTACTTATAGACTGCCTGTGGCCCAGCCATCGTCTATGTTAGCTGATTAGGCGATGTTATCGCTGGGTTTTTGCTATTCACCTTTATAGCTCATTGAATATCTGAGCCAATTAGGGCGTTTTTTATCAGTCACAGTGGGGCCCTAACTGCTCGCCATGCCAGCGTGATGTCTGTGGCTTTTGGTTTTTCGTACATTGACCTTTGTCGTGTGTTATTTAATTGAAACTTAAGAGAAATTGCATTTTATTATTATTATATATTTGATTTGATTTACTCACTATTTTATTTCATTCTTCTCATTATTATATTAGATACTTTGTTTTCTTCATTGGTGCCTCTCTATGCGCTTCTCACTTATTTAACTTCCGTCTGCTTGGACATTTCGGGTGAGTTAATTGCATTTTCTGCCAGACTATTTAATATTTTTAATCACAGTAGCCACAAGCAAAGATTCCGATAAGACAATTCTACAATCGTTTTATTAGAATTTGGATGTTTGTTCCTTAGTGAAAACAAATTTATGAATGACTTGCTTTTCGGATTCGCAGTCGGTGTTTTTCATCTACCAGAATAATTGGATAATTGCTTAAGCAAGGCCATTTTAGCTGCCCCCCCGCCCATGGATGCATAGGTGCTCTCTAGTGTGTGTGTGTGTGTGAGTGTGTGTAACTGCGTGCTTCGTGGCCATTCCTCATAATTGTATTGTGGTTATTATCTTGATAATTACAGTTCGCCTATTGTAAGCCGCCTGGTCGTTAATTAAGGCCATGTTCTAGTCGTAGTTGCAGCAAAATGTTCATGCGTTCATGCCTGCACCCGATGCACGCCCCCTTTTGCGGCAATTACGGTCTTGCTGGGTGGCACGCAGGGGGGAGGGGGGGCGGCAGGGGCAAGGGTGTGGCATAATTAATGGGCCGCACACACCTGTTTTGGCATCCATTTCTAATTGCCAAATATGCAACGCTCGTGTGAGTACAATCTTCAGACACGGGCGTCTTTAACAAGTGCCACTCGTTATGCTTGTGGGCGTGGCACCTGGCCGTGTGTCTCAGCATCGGCGACGTGTTCAATAAGCGATTATTTTTTCAGTTGAGAATTCTTTGTGCTGTAAATTGTTTTTACTGGCATTGTTGTTGCTCCTGTTGTTGTTGTTTGCTTTTTGGCGTCGCTGCTGGCAGCTATTATTTGTTAAATGAAGCGATTTGTTTGTTGTCATTATGCGGCGAAGCGTTAAAACATTTTCGCTTTATTTTTTCTACGCTCGAAAATTTGTTTTTGCTGCAGCGCCGCACCGCAACGCGAATGTGGCAGCCACATACTGTAGCCCGGAGTGGTGGCTTGTGCGGCGCACACACCTTTCGATTCAGGTTTCCAATTGGGAGTTGGGAGTGGGAGTGGGAGTTGGCAGCTTCCAAGCATCGCTGCTGGATGTGAGAATTCCAAACAAGCTACGCCAGCTGTTGAGCTTGGCACAAGAGTGCTTCACCTTTTTTGTAGATTTTTTTGAAATTTCCATTTGCCAGCAAGAAAAAAATTCGAACGTTAAGCTACCAAATATAGAGATCAAAGGCTGTGCTTGGAGTGTTCCATCCGTTTTCTAGATAACTTATTTATTCTCTACATGTCTTTAATTAACTTCAAACTAAGTTCGTGAAGTTTTGGCAATAATATATTTATTATAGATATATAGGTTAACCTCTCGAAAAGAGCTTTACTTTCTCTCATGAATTATATACACGATATGACTATGCTTTTTAGCTAAAGTATTTCTTCCTATATCATTACGTTATCTTAGATAATTTTACTGTTAACGGAGCTTTTCATTCCGCTGCACATGCCATTTGCACCTTTCTATGCGCTTCTCACACAGCTTACTTGCGTCTGCTTTGGCATTTCGCTTGAGTTCTTTGCCTGATGGGCTTTGCATACCAAAGTCAACTATCAGACATGCACGTTAAGCCTTTTCCTGCGCCATGCCACCGTGGGCGTTGTCTTCGCCTAATCCGCTTTTAAAGTAAGTAACGAGGAACAGAGAAAAAAAGGCGAATGAGAAAGAAAAAAAACCGGAAATCACAAGTCAAGTTGATGAACTGTCTCAGTTCGTTGTTGTCAACGTTGTTGTTGCTGTGTTCGTCTGCATTGAAACTGAAATCGGCCAGACACACAAAAGACATGGCACCTGCAAAAACTTTGCAGACACATTTACCAGGTGCCCCCCGCGCCCAACCTCTCTTACTCTCGGTTAGAGATTTACGCATTTATTTTGCATTTTTTATTTACCACAAAAAACATGCGCGCAGATTTAAGCAAATATCCAAAAAGGAGTACAATTTATACAAAGAATGAAAAAAAAAGAAAATACGAGAGCAGAGCCCAAAAATCGCAGCAAACCCGGCCAGACAAGTTGAGTTGGTTAGAACATTTTTTGGGTTACCTCTCGATTTGCCTGCGTTGACATGACAAAAGCGCAGATCTGCATACATTTGCATGTCATTGGCCAGTCACAGAGCCAAACAGTCAAACAGTCAAACTGTGAAACAGTCAACGCATCATCAGGCAAGGACATCGAAAGCCCCTTAAGACATGCCGTTTGCCCACGTTAACAATATGTTAAGTTGCCCAAGAGCTCTACCCCACCCTCCCTCCAAAGCAGCCTGAACGAGTTAATCGCTTAATGTCGCCCAGCTCTGATATCATTTGTCAGCTGTCTATGCCTGGCCAGGCGGAGTGGGTCGAGATTGGGGACTTCTACGACTGCGGCATAATTGTAATTTGTTTGCATTTGCTGCAAAGTAGCCAATTGACAGGCGCTCAACCGGCGCAGCACTTAGCAAAAAAGAAACCCAAATTTATGGGCCAGGCCATTAGTGCCTGGCGTGGAAATTGCTTTCGGCCAGGCTCTAATGTCCAACCACTGACCAGTGCCAATGAGCTGCCCCTGTTCACACTAGCCAAGAGCTAATAAATATCAAAAGCACCCTGGAGGCAAATATTTACTTTAAAATTGAAACCCTCTTCTCCGCCCCCCGCGCAGTCCATGCTCAATATTTGCTTTTGCCAGCGTAAGTGCGTGAAAGGGTTGCTGAGTATTAAACGAAAAAATCGCCTTTAATGGCGACTCGGTTTGGGCTTTGATGTTCTCCAAGCTGTGGGTGTGCGCCAGGACCCAGTTTCCACACACACATGCCCACTATATATGTGTGTGTGTGTGTGTGCCTAAGTATCTCTATCTGGCTATCAATAAAACGTTGCACGCATCTTGAAAATTCAATTTGAAGCTATTTTCGTTATTTTTATTGCTCGCTAAATTGCTTTCATAGGCGCTTGAACTTCCGCTTCTTCTGCTTCCAACAATTTTCAAGGCACTTTAATTTCTTCATTTTCTCCAGCTCGTTGTCTGTTTCATCTGATTGTTGTCGCTGCTATTGTTGCTGTTGTTTTTATTGTTGCAATTGCCAGACCATAAAAATTAACAATTAACAGAGCGCTTGAAATGTACAAACGCAAATCGCGGCTTACAAAAAAATGCCGTCAAATAAATATAAAAGAAAAAATATCTTCAAATGATCTAGTAGGATCTGCTCGACTTGCAAATACCGTGTAAAGTCTTTTTTATTGTTTAATAAGCGCTGGAAACGATCTGTGCCTTCCGATCTTTGCCAAGCGAAAGACTAGGATAGGGCTATAGTTATTACTTCTAACAGATTATAAGTCTGTAGAGTCTTTATAAGATCTAATAACTATTATTTGGTGTGTTAATCCCCTTATTGTGCAGCTAGGTTAAGATAATAAAGCATATTCTCAACAAATTGGCCAATAAAAGAAGAAAACAAGTCTGTAAAGTCTGAAGAAGCTGACCATTCAGTAACATTCTTTGATGATGCTCTTCTTAAGTTTAAATTAGAAATTGTTTTTGTTAAAAGTTTTTTTTTTTTTTTTAGTAAAATCATTTTATATAGCAACTATTTTATTGACAAGTTCGCGTTTAAGTTACATTAATTTACAGCTTAGTCTTACCAAAACCTTTACTTATTCCGACTTTTAAACTAGCTAATAGCGTAAGGAAATATGTTCAGGGAATTCTGCTGTTACAAACAGCCTAAAAAAGTCGATATGCCCATAGAGAGCTATTGCCTGGGCATAATTATGGGTCGGAAGAGTGGCAGCCGGACAACGCGAACAAAAGGGTTATGAATGTGAAATTGTCATGCAAGAATTAGCCATGTTCTGTGTTATGGCCACGTAACGAGTATTTCGTTACATTTTGTTTTTGTTTTTATTTTTTATTTTGTAGCATTTGTACATTTTGCGGCCGGTCGTCACGTCAGCTGACCTAGCCAGGGCCTCTTTTTATGGCTCCATTCACTCTTGGTATGCCAGCAATTGTTTCCGAATTGTGGAAACATTGCTAAATGTTTGCTGACGCTTCAGGAAACGTAAACATTTAGTGTAGTTCTGGGCACAGGTCCGGTCCGGTCTCTGGTCTCTTTAAGGGCCTGCCTGGCTGCCTGGAATCGCTTGGGTATTTTCTCATATGCATTCATAACTAACACCATGTAAATGCATTTTAATGTGCGCAAAAATCCAATTTAAATTCAGAGCGTTTCTATCTTTTGGCCCGCTCGCAGCATGCAATCACAAAATTAGTTGACGACGAGATAAGAATTTTAGTGCCAACAGCAGAAGAAGAGCTGCAAAAAAAAAAAAAGGAAAATGGAAAAAGAACTAGGAATAAAGAAAACATAATGCGTATAAATCAACGAAAGAGACGCAGCAAACAAATTCCAAATAAGTCCTGTGAGAGATGCGGAAAATTCATTTGACAAAATGCACAAAAAAGCAATTTTCCAAGCTGCAGACAAATTGAAATATACGTGTAGCAGGTGGGCGGCGTGCGGCAGGGGCAGGGGGCGTGTCGCTGCAGTGACAGTCGGGTAAATAAATATATATATATATAAATACATAGTCCATCTACATAATCTA